CTGCCTACTGAGAGACGTGGGTGCAGACTGTCGAAAGGACAGGGACTGCGCCGTCAGTAAGGGACGTGGCACAGTCTGATCGGTACGGCCTATCAGATAGAAGCTTCCTGAGGAATGCTCGTGCGGCCCATTCGCGATCTACTTTGCAGCGAGCTTGGAATACTTCTGGAGTACCCTTAGTAGAATTGGTCCTTGGGATGACTTGTCTGCTTGGGAGCTCGGGCGAGCTGGTTTTCTTAGCTCGCAAGCTAAAGTTGCCTCGAAATATCCCTTTAGAGGTAGCTCGGGAACCCGGAGCTCGCGTTGTGGCGAGCTCCTCCTTTTGCGCGCTACGATGTAGTGAGCTGCCTTATGGGCCCGTTACTTGGTTGTACTGGGCCACATTGCTGAGCTGTCGCTTATGCTGAGTCAGTGTCCACGTGTCGTCGTTTCGTAGGTTGGACCAAATCGTCCTCCATCATAATATATTATGAAATAATATTTTTATATTCTATATATAATATGAGAGTATATTATATATTATAAAAATATATTATATATATATTTATAAAATATAAAAATATATTTATTTTCAAACTTTCAAACCAAATTTGTGGTCATCCAATATTTAAAGGGTAGCTAGGACTTAAATCGACCCTTCTCAACTAGTTTTGAAAAAAAAAATAAAACATAAAAAAAACACCAATATAGGTCGATATGCTCTACCGGCGTATCGACCTATGTTGATTCTTTGAACCTTGCCGAAGAGTAATCGAAATTTTCTACTCATTCTCACATCGACATCAAAACACATCCTACTGTGTATTGGAAACATCCCATCATGGTTTTTGAGCTGCCATTAACCCGGATGTCAGATTGTTCGGCACAAGAACCATCCAGTAACTGGTTCCGTTTTACTTGAAGCCTAGTCTTTGACCAAAAACCGTTGAGTCAATCAATGACCCGTTGAGCCAAGCGATCGAACCATTGACTCATTTACCCATTTAACAGTTTTGGCCATTTTTATTTTTAATTATTATTTTTTTTAATTTTTATTGTTAGAATGCCCATCTATTTGAACCGAATAATTGAACCGTTGACATAAAAACCGGTGGCAAGAATAATTCCGTTTCCAATTAGTCACTCGATTTAAAAATGCAAACGGATCGGATCGAATTCGAATCAGTATATAATAAACTTTAGGTCCAATCCGAATCCGATTTGATAAGCCTTGCTCCTCTTGTATGCTTGATAAACGTCCAAACTCCAAACTACATACCGTAATGAAATCCGAATCTCGTTGTCTGTATATGTTTCTCATCATGCAGACACGTCCTGCTTCCGTATCGGAGGACGATGCAGAATTGCAGACATCTCCATTGGTGGTGTCTGAACTCTGAAGCAGAGATATCAGCATCTAATCCCTGCTTCTGGAGCTTCGATGCTCCTGCTGCCACGAACTCAATGACTTCGTAGGAACCAGAAGCATCTCTCTAACTTGTACATGATTCCAGAGAACTTTGCAGTTCCTGCCTTCCTGGTTCGGTTAATAAGGTGCAAGTCCCGTCTGTGTTTTTTGGTTGGAACTTAGGAGCGAGAGAATAGAAAGAGAGGTTCGGCGAGGGCAAAGAGGAGAAATTAGGTGGCGGTGATTGAACTTCTGCGAGAAATTCGAGGGCAAAGAGTGAAAGAGGTGTGTCTGTGTTTCATTGGAGTATAGCGAGTGCTGCGAACGCCCAGCAGTACTTATCCCTTGTTTTAACTATTCTCAGTCAGCTTGTCCTTTTAAAATACAAACTTCCTTTTCTGTGAAAGATCTCGTCTCCAGCAGTCTTTATTGTCTGGCATGCAGGTGATTCGACCTTGCAGAAATGGAATCTTTAATATCTCTGACAAAGCAGTTCTCATAGCTGGAATCTTTCTCTACTAGAGGAGGAAGGAGGAAAAAAGAAGGGGAACAGTCCTCTGTGTTCTGGTGATTGTGTCCTGCGGTCCCTTTTCTCCATTCTTTTCGATTTCTAGGTCTGAAAATGGATAGAAATGGAGCTAATGAGAAACGCAACAAGCGCAAGCTTCGACAATCTCGCCTATACCTCAAGGTCAAGAACCAGGTGAAGAATATTTCTTTTTTGACTGTCTAGGTGTATGAATGTTCTTCTTTTAGTTGGATTTTTAACTTCTGTTAAAATGAAGAAAACAAATAATGCCGATTTAACCTGCTTTAAGAGAATCTCCTTGTATCTCTCACTGCAAAAATTTCTCCAATGGAACGGAACTGACGTTATTTGTGATGGTGATGGAAGTTTTTTATCCCTATTCTAGATTATGGATTGGGTTTCAAGTTATCTGATATGTTCCAATATCTCCTTCTGTTTCAGTGATCATATTTTAGTCAATTAAATATTATTGTTCATTATTGTGGTAGATTTGGAGGCATATTTGATAAAGTATTTGCTAGTTTATATATGTAGATGCTAGTAGCACAGTAGCACTACGCCGTATGGCTTTTGAGAGGAGAGAAAAATTGTGTTTCAAGAACAGTTGGTCTGGTAGAGGATTTGCCCCCTCGAAGAGGCATACCTAGGAGTTCAGTCCTCCTCGAAGTTGAGTACTGTCACTCTTTTGAACAGAAAGCAAGAAAGCCAGAGAAAATATTGAAGAAGAAGAAGAAATTCTTTATTACAAGTGACTGACCGAATACAACAGCTAAAGCTATATTATATACGTGTAAGAGTAGGAAAGAGAAAGGAGAGAGAGAAGAGCAACAAACTAATCCAGCTCAGCCAAGTTTGTTATGAACTGTTTTAACAACCTAACTAACTCAGCTAATAAAGACTATTTATACTGACTAATAAATAATTCTCTACATCCCCCCTCAAGTTGGAGCTTAATGAAGATCGAGCACGCCCAACTTGGAAAGCAAGGAATGAAACTAAGGACCTGCCAGTGGCTTTGTAAAGATGTCTACGATTTGAGCATGTGTAGAAATGTACTGAGGCTTAACAAAACTCTGTTTGAACTTGTCCCTCACCAAATGGCAGTCGATTTCCAGATGTTTTGTGTGGTCATGGAAGACTGGGTTTCCTGTGATGTGTAATGTAGCTTGGTTATCACACTAAAGAGGGATGGGAAGCTGAAGAGGGATTTGAAAATCTGCAAGAATGTAGGATATCCACTGCACTTCACAGACTGTAGTGGCCTCAAACAGGCTTCAAATCTTGTGCTTTCCAGATGAGGAAGTTTACAAACCTCTCCTTTTTGTGCTTTCTGATAGCCTTCTGGTGGAAGCATATAAACTTCCTCATCCAAATAACCATGGAGAAAGGCGTTGTTTATATCAACCTGATGTATTGGCCAATTCTTAACAGTAGCAACTGCTAGAAAAATTCTAACAGTAACAAGCTTTGCAACAGGACTAAAACTATCAAAATAATCAATGCCAGATACTTGATGATAACCTTTAGCTACAAGCCTTGCTTTGTACCTTTCAACGGTACCATCAGGATTCAACTTAACCTTAAAAACCCATTTTGAGCCTATAGCTTTCTTCCCTTTAGGCAAAGCAGTCAGTTCCCAAGTCTGATTTTGTTCTAGAGCTTCTAGCTCTTTGTTCATAGCTTTAACCCACTCTAGATGAGTATTAGCTTGAGTGTAAGACTTAGGTTTTGGAATAGTTGATACATTTTCTAAAAAACTCAAATATGCACTGTCAAAAAATGGAGATTGGGTATAGGGAAAATTAGGAGGTGTGTAATTGGAACTAGTAGGGGGTAATGAGACCGTATTAGCAGTAGGTAAATGATTAGAAATTGATAAATTTGTAACAAAGTCCTTGAGCCAAACAGGTTTGTTTTTTATTCTTGTGCTTTGTCTCAGAGGAGGTAATGTAGGAAGTGTAAGTGAAGAAGGATTAGTTGAATGAGTAGGAGAAGACAAAACAGGAGTTGGAGAAGTATCAACAGGAGTAGACAAAACAGGATCATATTCAATTTGGGGAACAAAATCAACAGGAGTAGTTGAATTGGGAATAGGAATTGTAGATGAAACAGGAAAATCAGAATCAGAAATTGGATCTACAATTGGTATGGGACAAGTAGAAGGTTTAGCTGAAAAAGAACGATATGGGAAAATGTCTTCATGAAATATAACATCCCTGGAGGTAAAAAGTTTTCTATCATTGAGGTCATAGAGTCTATAAGCTTTCTTTCCTAAGCTATAACCCAGAAAAATGCATTTAAGAGCTCTTGGTGCAAACTTGTCCTTATGGGGCTGAGTGTTTGTAGCAAAACAAAGACAACCAAATGTCCTTAGATATTCTAGTCAGGTTTCCTTTTATACAAAACTTCAAAAGGTGTTTTCCAATGTAAAACAACAGTAGGCAAAACATTTATAATATGTGTGGCCATTAGTAAAGCATGTCCCCAAAATATTTTTGGTAAATTTGCTTGAAACATCAAAGACCTAGCAATTTGAAGAAGGTGTTTGTGTTTTCTCTCCACAATACCATTTTGTTGTGGAGAATAAACACAGCTTTTCTGGTGCAAAATACCTTGATCGGAAAGAAAACTTTAAAAATCTTTATTGAGAAATTTAGTGCCATTGTCAGAACGGATACATTTAATTTTCTTATGAAATTGAGTTTCAATCATTTTGAAAAATGTAATGAATGAAGATGCAGTCATGCTTTTATGGTTAAGCAAAAATATCCAAGTACTTCTGCTGAAATCATCAACAAGTGTAAACATATAATGTGCACCAGTAATTGAAGGATGTTTATAAGGGCCCCATAAGTCCAAGTGCATCAAATAAAAAATGCTCTCTGAATGAATTTTACCAATTGGAAAAGGCAATCTCTGTTGTTTAGCCAAAGGACAGATTTCACAAATAGGTAATGATGCATTGGTGGGACAAAAATCAAGGTGCTGTAAGGCTGTAACAAATGCATATCCTAATCTGTTATGCCAAAGAACTAATCCAGGAATAGAAGTTTTATTGAAGAAATGAGACTTATTACATGTAGCAGCTTGAAAGGTTCTATTACAAGCATTCTGAGTCATTGCACAGTGTGCAAACTCTTTATTACAAACAAATGATTGAATTCTATCAGCAGAAAAAGAGGACTTGTCCAAAGTGTACAAGTTCTTTATCATTTTACCAACTGCTAATATCTTCTCATTCTGCAGGTCCTACAACAAGCAATAGGTAGGGTAAAAAGTGCATTTAATGTTGTTTATAATGACTAATTTACTAACAGATAACAAATTGAATTTAAAAGAGGGAATGTGTGAAGTATTTGTCAAAATCAGATCAGGACTAAGTTTCACATGGCTAATATGTTGAACAAATTTTATGGTTCCATCAGGTAAATGTAGTATGATTTGAGTTACTGGTTTAGGTTGAGAAAGTAATTTTAAATAAGTGCACATGTGGTTTGAAGCACCAGTATCAACTATCCAGGTTCCTTCATCTAACACAACAAGTGTACTATCCTTAGAGTTGAAAGCATATTGAACTTTCATACCTGCATAAGTATCCAGGTGAGCAAAATTGACACGGTTGCTATCAGCAGTCATTTTCCCTTTGGCAATCTTCATGAGCTCTTGTCGAATCATGTTGCTGAGATGAGGTGCTTGATCTTGATTTTGGTTAGCTGGTAACTCAGTATCTACATCCAGAGGAGTATCAGCTTGATAAGCATTATTGGCCCTGTATCTTCTTGAAAAGCCTCTTCTACCTCTTCCTTGAGTGTTTCCCTTTTGTTCTCTCAGCTCCTTGTACCAATCGGGGTACCCATGAATCTTGAAACAAGTTTCCTTTGTATGACCATCTCTATTGCAATGATCACAGTGTCTATATTCTGTTTTGTCATAATCTTGCTTTTGTAATTCAGATCTACCATAACCTGGTGGTTTCCTAGTAGCACCTCTTCTTGTTCCATCTTTCTTGTAATTCTATGATCTAGCAAGCATAGCATTTCCATCAACAGTTTCAGCAAAAGCAATATGAACATCTCTTTGTTTTTCCACCCTAAGCACCAATGAATATGCCTTGTTAATAGTAGGCAGTGGATCCATTAGTAGGATCTGATTCTTAATATGATCAAAAGAATCATTTAGTCCCATTAAGAACTGCATCAGCTTATTGGAAGAAGTAATGTCACACATTCTCTTAGCTGCACCACAAGTACATTGAGGAAGTGGCATGATACATGTCAATTCATCCCAAAGTTTCTTCAATTTGGTATAATATTGTGCCACAGTTAGATTTCCTTGACTAATTGTACTAATATCTTGTTGCAAATGATACTGTAAAGGTCCATTTGAATCTCCAAACCTTTCTTCCAATTCTAGCCAAAGATCTCTAGCAGATGTAGAGTATAGAAAAGCATCAACAATGTCCTTAGAAATAGAGTTAAGTATCCAAGAAGTTACCATACAGTCCACTCTTGTCCATTGCTCAAAAGTAGGTGAATCAGGTTCTGGTGCTTTGCAACTTCCACTGATGAAACCTAATTTCACCTTAGCTCCAAGCACTATCTTCATTGATCTGCTCTATGTCAAATAGTTATTTCTAGTTAGTGGAATAGACACCAATATCATGCCTGGATGATCTGAATTCTATAAAAAACAGAGGATCTCCATTATTGCTTCCAGTATTAGCTTCTTTTCCCGTACCAACGCCATTGATAACATTTCCACCATTATTGTTTGGTGTTTCTCCTGCTCTTGTCACTGAAACATCAAGATCAACCTCCATCGTTCTTCAAATATCAACTTGATCAAAAGAGAGCCCAAGATCTAGTGTGGCTCTGATACCATGAACAAAAAGCAAGAAAGCCAGAGAAAATATTGAAGAAGAAGAAGAAGAAATTCTTTATTACAAGTGACTGACCGAATACAACAGCTAAAGCTACATTATATACATGTAAGAGTAGGAAAGAGAAAGGAGAGAGAGAAGAGTAACAAGCTAATCCAGTTTAGCAAAGTTTGTTATGAGCTATTTTAACAACCTAACTAACTCAGCTAATACAGACTAATAAATAATTCTCTACATCTTTTGCCCAGTTTGTTTATTATTTTAGCCATGATCTTGTCGGATTGTAATTTTTGGT